GTGTTTCACCACCCTTACACTGAAGAATTTACACCTGATCTCTAACCTAAATCTCTCTTCTTTCAGCTTAAACTCAATACCCCTTGTCCTCTCACTGCAAGCCCCTGTAAAAAGACCCTCCCTAGCTTTCCTGTAGGCCCCCTTCAGGTAATGGAAGGCCCCTATGAGTTTTCCCTGGAGCCTTCTGTTTTTCAGACTGAACAACCCCAGCTCCCTCAGCCTGTTCTCATAAGAGAAGTGCTCCAGCCCTCAGATCATTTTTGTGGCCCTTCTCTGGGCATGTTCCACCAGGTCCACATCTTTCTTCTGCTGGGAGCACCAGATCTGGTCACAGTATTCTAGGTGAGGTCTCACCAGGGCAGAGTTAGAGGGGCAGAATCACCTCTATTGTTCTGCTGGCCACACTTCTTTTGATGCAGCCCAGGACATGGTTGGCCTTCTGGGCTGCAACTTCACATCGGTGGCTCATGTCCAGTTTTTGATCCAGTAGTAGCCCCAGGTCCTTTTCCACAGAGCTGGTCTCAAGCGTGACCTCCCCCAGCCTGTATGCATGTCTTGGGTTACCTCAGCCCAGGTGTGGGACCTTGCACTTGGTCTTGTTGAACCTCATGAGATTCTCCCGGGCCCACTTCTCTACCTTGTCCAAGTCCCTCTGGATGGTATCCCATCCCTCTGGCATATTGACCACACCATCCAGCTTGGTGTGATCAGCAAACTTGCTGAGGGTGCTCTTAATGGCATCATCAACAGTGTTAAGATATTAAACAACACTGGGCCCAGCACTGACCCCTGAGGGACGCCTCTTGTCACTCTTTTCCATCTGGACTGCAACCATCTAGCCAGTTCCTTATTCACTGAACAGTCCACCCATCAAACCTGTATCTCTCCAATTTAGTGACAAGGATGTTGTGGGGAACTGTGTCAAAGGCCTTACAGAAATCCAGATAGGTGACATCCACTGCTTTTTCCTGGTTGACTGATGTAGTACTTCATTGTAGAAAGCCAAAGTAGTACAGATAGTTTCTCTATACTATTATTCTTAGTGTAACTAAAGACTGAAAAAGACAGTTAAAAGAATTTGGAATTTAAGCTACATAGATCAGATTGAGAGATTTATAAGATACTTAACAGGCCTTATCAGTGCAGCCTTGTTTTTTTTCACAGTGAGTATTGTCCTGAAATAATTACCTACAAAGCTAAAATTTCTTGGATGTGATGCATGTAAGTGAACAAAGCTGACTCTTCATCAGGGATTGTCATCAGTCTACATTACCTGGTTTTCTTACACATAAAGGAAATGTGAAAGTCAAGCCACCTCGTGTTTTTTTTTATTATTACTTGCAGCATCATAATTTAAGAAATACTCAACTAAATCTGAGGTTAATTTATCTCCAGTAGCAAATAAAGTATCAAATAATTAATTAGAAGCTCTTTGCTTTATTTCTTTCACTACAGAAACTGTGAATTTGAACTACTGGACAGAATTTGAAATTTTTGTCAGGAAAGGGGAATGACCAGTGCTTCAGCCTTACTAGTTATCAATAGTAGATTGAATCCCAGCCTATTTACTTTTTGAGGGCTTTTCCTGGTACCAGTATCATCTTACAGATCTTGACCTTTTCTAAAGCTGAAGTTTTCTGTGTTTACATGTTTAGTAGTACTCAGGCTAGTTTGGATACTGAAGCTTTGAGTAGTATTGCAGGGGCTTCATTCTTTGCTTTTTTTAAGTAGCTCTTTATGTCTAAAGTTACCTGTGTGATGTTATTCTGATTGAATGTGAAGTGAATAAAAGGAGGTCTGAAGAAGAAAGTTAATTCAAAATATATTTTCAGTAATGTAAGCCCATCAGAAATATGTTTGTATGATAAAGACAATCTGAGGAAACCAGAACCAAGGAGGGACATCTCTTTACCACACTCCAGCTGCTTTGCTATGATGTGTAATTCCCAGATAAACAATTCTGAATCAACAAGTATTTAAATATTTTGTTTGTTTGTTTGTTTAAAAAAGGGGGTCTCTGTTGACAATGTCAGTGACATCCATTGGACAGATAGAGCAAACAGCATTATGGAAAATCTGGGTGGGTTTTTAGTGTGAGTTTGGGTTTTTTTGGATTTGTTTTCACTAGAGATATGTGGTTTTATTTGGGCCAAAAGAAATTTAGAAAATCTAGCCAAGGAAGATTAACAGTTGAGTGAGACAAAATGTATGTATGCAGGGTGGTTGTTAATGTGTTTAGGCTTTGTCTTGTAGGCACTGTGTCTTGGGAGAGTGAATAAATAGAATAAATAGAGCTGTGTTTTGAGTAGCTAATCTGCTTGTCACAGAGTATGAAAGGGAAAGCTTGTAGATGCCAAGCTCTGTTGGGTTCAGGAGCAGAGAAGGAGATACGGGGGATCACTGGGAAGCAATCCCTAATAGGGAATTGCTTCAGGTGCAGATGCCAGAAGCTGGGCCTGGCAGAATCTTTGGTTTCATAACTTGTCATAGTTTGCCTATGTTTTTGACAGGCGGCTTAGTTGTTTCATCACATCACGGAAAACTGAGATCTATAGTAGATGAACTTTATTGTTTTGCTTTGCTTTTGATTCAATTATATGGACAGCTTCAAGTAGAAAAGTCTTTTGTTAGCCATAGGAACAGAATTATTTAGAATTGCTGTCCCAAGCAGCTTATTTCAGTGGGCAGTGTTCATCTGCTTAATGAGATTGAGGCCAAAATGTGAATGACTCTGCCCTTACTCCAGAAAAAAAATAGAAATTGTCATGGATAGTCTCTTTATGGATAAAACTTTGTCCTAAATAAAGAATTACTTTCCTTGTTGCATCAGAAAATTTCTGGATATGGAATGTTCTCATTTACATTTCTAAGGGTTTGAAAACATTTTAGTTTTGAAAAAATGCTGTTGTGTCATATATTTTCAGTTGTTACAAAATTATGTTGGAACAGCAAGTAATATGGTTTTGTTTGTTTTGCAGATACTAGCCTTCCTGCTGTTTCCACACATAGATCATACATGTTATTTTATCCTTCCTGGGACATCAGCTAATAAAAATAAACTAATGATACATTACTGCCTCTTCACCTGTTGATTTAAATGTTCTCTATGCTTTTATCAGTAGGCTGTTATCTGTTTATCCTTTTGTAGTTGCATACAACAAAAATTTTTTATTATTATGCATGAGAGTAATAGGGAAAATTCTGCCTTTTGTTTCTAAATATGTTCTGTCATTTTTCCTTCTCTTTTCAACACTGTTCTTTTACATGAGGGAAAACATTTGACTGGAGATAGAGATTATAGTTACACCTTTATCCAACAAACTGGCTTTCTATACACTTTTATCTTGAAAACTTGTTATTTTTTTTACAAAAATGTCAAAGTTGCATTCTGAATTATGAAACCCATAAGGCCAGTCTGTTAGCTTGAGAATTTATTGAAAATAAGTATTTTCCCCTTTTAACAGACAGTTAAACAGGTCAGTTTTCTGAATGCAGTGTTAGAAAAAGAAGTGCTTTTTTGACCCAAAGCTAAAGTAGGCAGTGGGACTGTTGGGATGTGCCATATATTTTGAGCACAGGTACTCAATTTAAAAATAAAATGCACAGCTGAAATGGAAACTTATTTAATAGTAGATTTATGTATTTCATTTCATTTTTAAATGAGATTAGGAAAAGGTTGATTACTTAAGCAGTAGTTTATTGGCAGCAGGATTCCTAGTGAAACTTTATATGGGACTTCTCTCAGTAAGACTCTTCCAATATCACTGATTGTTTTGTAGAAACAAATTACACATCAGTAATGGAGCTAATTTTTTTTTCCTCCCCTCTTTTCTCTGTCAAGATCGTACTTTTCCTGTAATACCCTTAATGGTATTTTATGGTTTTCTATTTATTTTCTCTGAATAAAGAACTGTTCTGAAAATTCTTTAATTTTCTGTATCAAGTAGGATATTACGCATCATTCCTGAATTAATTTAAAAGTTATGTTGTCTTATTAGTTCTCTTTGGTTTATGTTTTTGCTCCATTTATTAATGCTTTTGGAAAGATGAGTACACATCCTTTTTAGCTCCTTATGTTTTATTGTGCTTTACCAACTGGAGTGCTCATGCAAAACCAGTGAATTTTTTGAAATGAACAGAGAGATTTAATCCAGGCACTGCTAATCCAAGGAAATCTTACAAATGAGTAGGCTTCATTTTTATATAATCTACTTTATGATTCCTTTTAATAAAAGAACTTAGGAAATACATTTTTGAAGGAAAACTGCCCAAACGGTAATATATGTTTTAATTAAAAAAAAAATAAATAAAAAATGTGTTAGTTGCTTCATTGGTATTCTCATAATGCACAAAGCTGTAATCTCTCTGCATTTTGGTTTACAAATCTCAGCTAAATTCTGAGAATAGGAATGAAAACCTAGAAGATTTTTGAAAGGCTTTATAGGGTTAAATAAATATTGCTGTCTGAGAACTGCTAATGATTTACACTGATCAAAGCTTCTTTTGAGCACAAACTTCTGATGGCCAGGTGTGCCTTATAAGGAGCTCCAAGGGATATCTTCTCATCTTCTGCTAATTTTTATGATGGAAGTTCTGACAGGCAAAATATATCTGACTGACAATATTCTGTTGTGATTTTTACTAAGTAGAGTAACAGGATTCTGCATTTTCTAAACCTTCAAGTTTTTAATCAAAGTTAAATTATTGTGCTGTTATCCTGTATTTAGACAACCAGCCTTATTCTATTCCTTTGCCTTCAGTAGCAACCTGTTTGATTTAATTTCATGTATCCTTTCTGTTTAAGACCACATTGAATTATTTTTCTAAATACTAAAAAACTTACTTGTCTACACAGAAGAATAAATTGTACTCCCAATATTCTTCATAAGTCTGTAGGAGCCCTGAGGATATAAAGGCAGGATACAGGTATAAAGTACTTAAGTTGAAGCTTAAATATTCCACATCCTTGTCCTCAATTGCAGAATCTATTGGCTGAGAAGGTGGAACAGCTGATGGAGTGGAGCTCAAGACGCTCGGTCATCCGCATGAATGGAGACAAATTCCGAAGATTTGTGAAGGCTCCACCTCGTAACTACTCAGTGATAGTGATGTTCACTGCTCTCCAGCCGCAGAGACAATGCTCTGTTTGCAGGTAATTTATACTGTAGTGATGATTTTCACCTGTATTAAATTATAGTTGAATGAAAGGTGCACAATAGAGGAAGACTTTCTCTTTTAAAAATCTGCTATATTTTATTATCTGTCGGCCATGGTCTTTCCAAAGACATTTTGCAACAGCAGTGATTCATTACCATTTAATGATGTGACACTTCACAGAGTTCTTCAATTAAGAGATGTCCAAGGCTCTGATGCAGATATGAGTCACCCTGGGATTTCACAGCTTTGGGCAGTTCTTACATACAGGCACCGTTTTCCACAAGAAAATGCTTATTGTGGAGTATTGTCTGTCACTGCACTTTGATATGTTCTGGTGACTCCTTTTAGAATATATATTAAAGTGGCTCTAATACTCTTCTCAGTTCAAGATCTTTCTCTACAAGTTCCCAGTTCAATAAGTTAATCCAAAAATTACTAATGATAGACATGAAAATAGGGCCAAGGGACCGAAAGGTAGTCATGCACTTAATTACCTTGCTAGATGGGAAAATGAGGTAATAAAACACCCTTCGGCCAAAGTATGCATTAGAAATTATTGTGTTTAGTAATAGATGAGATTATTGTGCAGGGAGTTCTAAACAGTATTTAAATAGCAGAATACTCCATAGAACTATGATATACATAAACTGTATATGAAGAAGTATAATTTCTTGGCTTTTAATTAGGTGGACTTTAAACAACACTCAAAGCTGGTAAATGTAGCAGCTTGTTAGAATTCTTAGGTGTTGGAATGTGACCTTTACAATAGAAATTTTAACTTGTGTGCCTGTAGTTAATACACTCTTTTTAATAGATTTTACTATAAATTTTTTTGTCAGTTAGTGAGTTTTTAGGAAGAGTACATAAATTCCATTCCCTTGAGATTCATCCTCCATATCTTAACTGTGAAGATGAGAGAGTAGGTACAGAAGCTTTCCAACATTCCTAAGCCAAAGGAATTTTTTCTTTAAAACTGGCAGCACATGGTTGCTGTTATTTCTTCTCTGTGTTGCTAAGTGTGAAGGACCAGGTATTTCCTTACACGAACATGAAATGTCCTTTGAGTCAGCCGACAAAACTGACTTAACACGGTGTCTCCACGCGGCGCTGAACCCCCTCTGTGTGTGTGGGGGGGGGGGGCAGCTGCTAACGGGGAGGAGGCGCGGGCGGCAGGCGGGGGGAGGGAA